TTATTTTTATTATTTTTTTTATTCTACGACTTACAGATTCTTATTAAATCAATTTTTTTGTGTTTTTACTCACCTACGAGGGGGTTTTGGGCGGAAACCCGGGGGTAAAAGTGGTCAACTTTTTTGCGTGTTTTTCAGAGTCTCAAAATTAATATTCTTGGCAAAATTCAGCTTGTTCGTATGACTTTTAGGGGTCAACTCTCTGCCGACTGGACTATGTTTAATTTAAAATATATTACAATTTCTTTCATACAGATATCCATGCGTTTCCTTTAACCATATGAAAAGATTCCTTAACATGATTAATCAAACTGACTAATTCACAAAGAGTCAAATTTCGTGTTTCAAGTTTTTTTTGTGTCCTTATCAAGAAATTTGAAATTTAAGCTTATGTAAGCTAGATTCTGAGGTAAATTATGTAATTAAACAAGGCCTTTGCATTCCTTCAGAGCTGCTGTATGGAATTTTTGAGCTCTGCCATAGAACTATTTATTTCTTGAAAATACTCCGCATAAAAAAATGCTGCTTGTGATAACAAGTAAAGGGTGTGATGGAATATTACCCAGACGTTCTTTGTAAAATTTAACTTGTGATTGCGATTTTGTATAAACTATTTTGATACTGTATTGTTTATCAAATCATTAACATGTAGAAATTTCTTCTTATTACTTTCGCGACAATGTTAAGCTCATGAACTGTACATGAATTAAATTTCTATAGAATATTTTTTAGTTCGGTGTAGCCTTTACCATATAGCCTTGCATTATCGCTTAACATTATTAAAACTGTATCTCATGGTATATTTCCCGGTAAAAAAAAATGGGACAAATCATATTGAACAAAACGCTTGCTCGATTGCAAACAAATCCCCGATTGGGAATGTTAAATTTACAATATTAAAAATGAAGTAAAAGTGACATTATTCACTTTTAAAAGAGAAATTCCCGAAAAAAACAAGGCATCGCAAAGGTACTGGTTAAAAAGCAGCTGATCGGTTTTTTGAGTCCCTGAGCTTTGCGTTATTGTTAATCGCCCTTTTGATTTGGGCCATTTTTAAGGCGAGAAGGTATCTTTGCATGCTGATTGATTAAAATTTTTGTATTAGAAGTAATCTGAAACAAAAAGTCAAAGCTTATTTACACGGTTTTGTTACCGAAAGATACGTTGATAATGGCTTGCACTTGTCTTAAAATGAAAATAGTTACTTACAATTTTAGAGAAAGCTTGACAAAATAGTGTTCCTTCATCCAGCGTTAATTCAGGATATAGGTTAATCCATGAATCTAACGCTAATCTGAGAATCTATATAATATAATATAATTGTTTTAATTTTTACAAACGTATTGCTTGCTATTTCTGTTATTTCTATTTCTATTTTATTTCTATTATTTTGTGATTACTTTCTGAAATTCAGGTGACCAGGTATCTATATTTTTCTACCTTTTCCAGCGATGCAGGTCGCAAATGTGTGTTTGTTTGTGTATTTTTCTTTGTTATTATCAGGTATTTAGTCTATTTATATTCATTTTTAGTCCGTATTTTTCACAGCAATTGTTTACATGAGTTGTTCATCAAAGCTTACCATAATGACGGTGTCATCTGCATATTTCTTGTTTTTAATAGTTTTTCTGTTACTATTATTGTTCCTACACTTTTAGATAGTAATGATTCTTCAAAAATGGACTCCTTAGATATATACCTACATTGAATAGTAATGGAGACATAATAATCCCCGCTTAACTCCTCTCCTGATTTTAATTTCTAAACTGGGTTTATTTTTTATTACAATGTGTGCTCTTTGATTCCAGAAAAGTTTTGTTATTTATCTGAAGTCCCTTGTGTCTATGTTTTTGTCTTTAGAATTTGGACTAATTCTTCATGTCTTACTTTGTCAAATGCTTTTTCAAAATTCATAACCAAAATGCATATCAAAATTTATATTCATGCATCTTTGAGTTATCACATTAAAGTCCTGGTTCCTAGTCCGCTTCCGAATACAAACTGACTATTATCTATTCCTTCTTCCAATTTTTTATTTATACAACCATGTATTATTTTCAAGAGTAATGTGAGATATTATTAATTATATTGTTTTGTATCCACTGTAGTCTTTAGAGTTTGTATTTTAGGGGATACCGAAAAACGTGGAGAGTAAGAGAATGTTTTGGTATATGTCCTATTTTTTATATTGTGTTAACCAAGTCTACTATAATATCCATGGTTTGATCTGGACCTACTGCTTTGCTATTTTTGGTGTTTTTTAATGTTATTTTAATTTTCTCTTTTAATACCTTTAAAACCACACCATCTTCTACTTCTACTTCCATATGTTCTGTCCTAGTGTTTTGAACAACTCATTGATCCATCTGCTTAATTTTTGTTAGTACTTAATACTAGTTTCCCATTTGTGTCTTTTAGTATTTCCGGTTATCTTTTTCCATTGTGAGTTAATTCTTTAATTTTTAGTGTGTCTTAAAACTGTCATGTCTTTTCTGGTATGATTCTATCTATTTTTTATTTTATTTGTTTTTCACTTTTTTGTATACCTCATTATCTTTGTTTTCCTCCTCAAACATTACTGAAGTTATACTTCTATACGCACGGTCAACGTTGGAAATTTGCACGGAAGTGCAAATTAGATTCGCACCGGAGATTATTTATTAAATGTTCATAATTATTTTTGGGTTTGCGTATTTCAAAATAATAATAACAATAAATCACTGTATGACCGAGAACTGTTAATTTTGAAATACGTTACTGTTATCTCTAATTGGCAAATTTCTTACATGTTATTAAATATATGTAATATACGCAAAAATGCTAAATTTTAAAATAAAATGAAAGTTTACAACATAATCCGAGTTGTTGGTTTTTTATTTTTATCTTCCACAAACATTTTTTGAAGTTATACTTCTATACGCGCGTTCGACGTTGGAAATTTGTGTGTATTCGTATATATTGAGTTAATCAGCAAAATCATTACATATGTTAGATATAGGTAAGAGAAACACTAAAGATATAATTATCTCCCTCGAAAATAAAAATGTTCCTTTTGTAAAGATATTTATTTTTTATTAATATTATTATCATGGTAAATTAAACATATGCGTAAGTTATGAATATTGTCATTTTTAAATACTTATGTATATTGCATTTTAATTTGTATTGTATTTTTATATTAATAACAAAATAAACAATGAATTTTACTTCAGAGTATGTGTAAAATTTTTTTTGCATTCAATTGCTTTTAGACATAAATGAAAATCAAAATATATATATTTTCATTAAAATATTGATTCAATCGTTCATTTACTATACCCCTATTACAGTTCAAATATTTATATACAGCAAACTATGCACCATATAACTATATATCCAATTATTTTTCTCTTTATGCTCTCTCTTACCTATAGCATTACATATGTAATGATTGTGCAGATTGACTCCCATATAAATTTGTAACAACGAACGCGTGTATAGAAGTATAACTTCTACCGTCAGTTCCACTGGACTGCCACACCCGTTATTATTTTTTTGTGGCTGGTTGGTGTCAGAATTTATTTTTGACTTTTATCTATTTCTGTTATTATTCAGTTTCCAGTAATTATTTTTATGTTGTCAGTCCAACGCATTAGCTCTCGGCCTGTGTTACGTCTGTCTGCTTGAGGTCGTCATAGTCTTCTAGTTCATCTGTCGCTCGATGTCCTTGCCACAGCTACACATCTCCATTTCATGTAGTTACAAGATTCATGTATCCTTGACCTTCGTTCTTTGTCTGATATTGTTATTGGATATTCTGTGTCTTTCAGTGATTCCAAGCATGACACTTTCCATGGCTGTCTAGGCTACTCTTAAAGGTTTCGCTATATTTTTTGTTAATTTTAATGTCTCTGCTCTGTATGTACTGGTAACACACATTGTTTATATACTTTTCTGTTCAGATATATTATTCTTAAATATCGTCCGTAATTTTTCAAAAGCAGCCCAACGCCAACCTATTCTACACGGTATCTCATGCTGTTGGTTGTCTCTTCCAGTTTGTATTTCATGGCCAAGGAATTTGTACATATGTGTTTCTTTTATTTGACATCGCCTAGTCCGAAGTTTTGTGCAAGCACTAGATTTGTCGTTATTTGAGTTTGAGTTAAATTTATTTAAAGACCTTTAGTAATTCGCCAAGCATGTATTTTGCATCAACGATATTGTTATATATGTAGCTAAGAAACCGGATACTTACCTGACTGGATCTTAGACTAATAAAATTCAATATTTCTGGCCATTTTTCTATAAAGCAGAAAAATCCAGCTTTATAGACAATGTTCGATCGTTTAAGTCTATAAAGCTAAAAATCTTCAGTTTCAGTGAATAGCGTCACATAATTGACATGCCCCTTTTCTATAGAGCTGAAACCAGAGCAGTGTTATAGAAGTTTTGGAGAACGTTTATCTAAAAAGCCGAAATGTATATTGAAATATAATTTTAAATCTTATAAAAACCATCAAACATTTAAAATCTAATCATCTAAAATCGCTTAAAATTAAAAAAGTAATAAGTACTCGTAATTTAACTTATGTTGTTGAATGTCAAATAAAGTGAATAATAGGGTAATCAAAAGAACTCCATATGAGGCTGTACTTGTCATAAAAACTGGGATACATTTCACGTCATTACCATATAAAGTGATTAACAAATTGGTTAAGGGGCGATTTGTAGCGGGCATTTAAGAGTTAGAATATTTATTAGAGATTTATTATCTTTAGATAAAGGAATTATCACCGAGCAACCTCTAAACTATCTACTAAGATATTACCTGAAGAACTGGACTCCTAAATATATAGCTGCACAGACTAGATAATGGAGTTGTAAGAACCGATGTGTTTTTCACAAGTGAAAATAATATTTTACCAGGAACTGCGAGCAACGAAATGTATCCATCACATTTTGCTTGCTTTTGAAATAAATCACATCAAACTACCAAGACGAGTTTGAATTTGTTACAGGATGAAGTAGATTCTACAGCAGAAGTCAACAAATTAGGTACATCTTCATCTGCGCAGTGTATATCTGATGCAGCTTTTACTTATATGAAATGTGAAGAAGTTATTACAGCAAAAGTAAATAGCAATGTTAAAGAGAACGGACCTCTATCTATGCAATACATAGCAAATGCTCTTTTAACGTCGACTAAGTGTACAAAAAAGGCTTCTAGCGACAGCGACATCAATGAAATTGACCAAAATATTAACGAAATCAACGTTATTGAAATATAGCAATATGCAGACATTTCTGAGCATCAAATAGATTATAAGATGTTCAACACGGATTACCAAGTATTTTGCTGCATTTGTAGCAACCACGATGAGACGACGATTTAATAAACATGCGGCACACTTTTATTTAAAAATTCGTCTATATGTCATCTTTGTAAAAAAGAAAAAAGATTGTTAGAAGTGCAGAATGAATGTTGGAAATGACAAAAAATAGAAGCTGCCAAAATGCTCAAAAACAGTATATCTCACTATAAATAAAGTGGATCGCAATCTATTAGATCACTATAATATATTTTGTGTAGTAATGGTAGTCAAACATGATTTACGTTTATTTATTTACCTGTGGAAATAAACACTGAAAATGAAAATCAACGGAAAATTGCAAAATACCATAATTTCTAACGTATACATTAGCGTAACAATAAAACACTGAAAACTTTGTTTTCAAACTTCCACAAAATTTATTTTAAATATTATCACTACAGCTGTTTCGGCTGATTGCCTTTCTCAAGTGATCTATTTTGGCTTGGGTTTACAAATTTATAGTCTCTAATGAAATAGGTTGAGGAGGGGAGAACTGTTTGTCTCAAGTTAGTCATTCAGAATTATATCTGTGTTTTTTAATTTGTTGATTTCCATAGATTCTAACAAAGATAGCTTAAGGCCTTTATTTTGAATGTGAAGAATTTTAAATTTGTCATTAAAAGAATGATTATGATCTAGAACGTGAAGTGCGTATGTCGAATCTGTTTTTCTATTCTTGAAAGCCCTTTTATGTTCTGCTATTCGTTTATCAAAGTTTCTACCAGTTTGACCGATGTAAGTATTTGGGCAGTCGCCACATTCAAGTTTGTACACACCACTATTTAAGTGTTTTTTATTTTGGCTCTTGTTATTTTTAATATATTTACCTAGGTTGTTATTTGTTCGGAAAGCTGGTGTTATTCCTTTCTTTTTTATGTGTTTGGCAATTTTTGTTGTTATTTTGCCTGTATATGTAATCGAGCAGAAGGTACTGAGTTTTTTCTCTGGTGGTGGAAATACTAATTTCAGGGCTTTCTTGTGTAGTTTTTGATTTAACATTTTATTAATTGTTTGTTCGTTGTATCCGTTGTTTACTGCTATCTGCTTAATTATATTTAATTCTGTCTCAAAGTTGTATTTTGACATCGGAATTTCTGTTAATCTATGTAACATACTATGGTAAGCTGCCAGTTTATGTTGTGTTGGATGGCATGACGAATTGTGTATAGTCGTGTCAGTATGGGTAGGTTTATGAAATATGGAGAAGTCATGTTTGTTTTGAAGTCTGCTAATTTTTAAATCTAAAAAATTTATAGATTGATTTTGTTCTGTTTCTATTGTAAATTCAATATGACTATGAAGTGAATTAATATATGATAAAAATTGGTCCAGTTGCCTGTTAGTTCCTGTTCCTGACTTATAATGGGTAGTCCTCTAAGCCCATTGCTATTAGATATTTTTATGGATCATCTAGAGACAAAGATTTCAAAACATCCCGTATTCAAACAGTTTTTATATTGGTGGAGATACGTAGACGACGTACTGGTATGTTTCACAGGAACTAACAGGCAACTGGACCAATTTTTATCATATATTAATTCACTTCATAGTCATATTCATATATATTCATCATATTCATATATCAAGTATAGTCCTAAAAGAAACGGATGGTAAAAAGAGAAACATCAAAGACGCAGCTCTAATTATATCAAATGAGACCAATTGTGTCGCAAATTCGTCGGCAGAATGTAGTATTATCTGGTTACCTATATTAAAAGAGGAAGTTAATAAAAGGAAAATACCAGTATTAGTAAGTCAGTAACATATAGAATCACATACATAATTTATGTTTTTTAAATAACAAACATATAAAATCAGAATTTGGTGTTTATTGAAAATAAATTAAATGCACGACCCAATACTTCCCATATCGGGATAGTATATTATGATTTTCTTCCTGGTTTTTCCCTATTACTTTACTATGGAGTCACTAACAGGAGAATTTTACTGTCATCATAGCATGTGTTTGTCTTTTATGTGTGTTAAACGAATTATATGCTATGATTTTTTCTGGCAGATTTTCTCGAGTTAAAGTTGATTTCATGTAATCAAATGAACTATCTTACAAGTAAAGTCGTCCCCGAAACGCAATTCAATAATATTGGCAATATCATTTTAAAGTCATCTACTTTAAAATGTATAATGTATATCTGAATTGTCAATATAAATGAATCAGATAAATTTAAATTATTAGAAGAATTTTTCACCAAGTAACAAAAAAACAAAATTTACTAATGTTTGTATTTTGAGAACGAATTCCCAAGTGGAAATTGAAACGTCAATAAAGTTACTTTAACCTTTATTTGTGGCTGATTCTCATTTATATATATATATATATATATATATATATATATATATATATATATATATATATATATATATATATATATCTTTAAGGAGTATGACCGTTTAATTTAATATAAAAAAAGTGCACTCGTAAGTGTGAATGGGATTTTTTCGGTCAATTTGGAGATAAAAAAGAGTTGTGCTACTTTATCTATTTATTGAAGACGTTTTGCCTACATTTCAGTGAGCATCATCAGTTCATCTAAAAGAGTGTTATTAGCGATACATCTAATATGAGAAACAATTAAGTAAATAATCTTACCTTTAAAAGATCTGTAGCATTAAAAATGGTATAAATTTGAAGAAACATCAATATAAGGACAAAATTAATCTAATTGAAACATCAGAAAACAAAACCAAATCACAGAATGCCGGAAGATTCCCAATTTATGCAATTTTATAATAATTTTTTAATTTAACTCTTGACATTGATATATATATATATATATATATATATATATATATATATATATATATATATATCTATATATATATATATATATATATATATATATATATATATATATATCTATATATATATATATATATATATATATATATATATATATATTGTGGGTTGGGTCAATAAAAGGGCTATTGGTAAACTATTCTTTATGTCAAGATTTCAATTGTGTTTACAATCTTTATAAAGAGCTTCTAAAAATACAAAAAATCTTATAAAGTGAAACTAGAAAAATAAATTTTAACTCACCAAATAAAATTAGTTTTGTTTTTAAATCTAAACTGCTTAACATGTTAAAAACTATTTTAAAAAATATTAAATGAATGTTTCTCTAAATTTAGTAATTTTGAAATACTTTTTTAACAAAAATAATTAGAATTTAAATTTTTTTAAAAATTTTTGCCGCATGTCATCAAATGCTTTTGACGAACTTCTATATAAAGTCGAAGCTTTTATAAATTTATCATCTCCTCTTTACCTCTTATCTTTATAAAAAAATCACATGATAGATCATGTAGTGTAAACTCGACTTTATATGGAATCGTGTAATATTTCTTATTATTTCAAGGGAATTTAAAAAAACCAACATACAAAATCACACAATATTTATTTTAAAGCAAATTAATCACCAATAGGTACATAAGAATTAAAGAAAACAATACATTTTTGAAACAAACAAATTGAAATTATCTGTCTGAAAGTCAATAATAAAAAAAATTTAATGTAAAGTAAATAATGTTTAAATTGCTTTTATTTATTTGTTTTTTAGTAGTCATTGTTACCACTCCTAGCTGTTATACAAGATTCAATTCGTGTGAGCATGCTCCTAAACAACACATACACTTAACTTAACTTAATCAACACTAAACAAGAATTAAATCCTTTAGAGAGACAGAAGATCACAAAAGATGAAATCAAATATGCTATCAAAAACTCTAAAGCCAGAAAGGCGCAGCTATATTAGATGAAATACCCGTAGAAATGTTAAAAATAGTGGAAGAGGACAACTTGGAAGTATTGGCAGATTTATTCAACACGGTGTACGATACAAGAATAATACCACAAGAGTGGCTGAAGTCAGCATTTATAACTATCACTAAAAAACAAGCAGCAAAAGAGTGCTCTGATTATCGAACACTGAGCCTCATGAGTCATACTTTAAAAGTACTGCTAAAAGTAATACATAAGAGAATATACGAAAGGCTAGAGAAGGATATTAGCGAGACGCAGTTCGGGTTTCGAAATGGAATGGGCACTCAAGAAGAAATATTTGCCATCAACATATTGATTCAGCGATGTCGGGATGTAAACGTTGATCTACATTTGTGCTTCGTTGACTACGAAAAAGCTTTCGATAAAGTAAGACATGAAAAACAAATATCAATACTTATGAACAATATATATATATATATATATATATATATATATATATATATATATATATATATATTATATATATATATATATATATATTGATATATATATATATATATATTATGGGTTGTGTCAAAATTTCAATTGTGTTTACAATCTTTATAAAGAGCTTCTAAAAATACAAAAAATCTTATAAAGTGAAACTAGAAAAATAAATTTTAACTCACCAAATAAAATTAGTTTTGTTTTTAAATCTAAACTGCTTAACATGTTAAAAACTATTTTAAAAAATATTAAATGAATGTTTCTCTAAATTTAGTAATTTTGAAATACTTTTTTAACAAAAATAATTGAATTTGTCAATAAATTAGAATATCGACTAATTATAAACAGCCTCAATGTCATGAATGCCAACTTACAATTTTCATTTTTGACAATTATATTGCCAAAAATAAAATTTTGTTTAAAATATTCTTTTTTATTTAGTAATAAAAAAGAAGATTACTTCATCATTGATAGATGTCTAAAAAATGTAACATTACACTTAGATGTCTAATTATTTAGTCTGTTTAATACTATAATTAGAATAATAAAATAATTAGAATAAATTATATGAGGTAAAATTTGGTGCAATAAACTTTCATTATTAGTATATCTATAGGTAAAAGTATTCATTATGTCAGTATTAAGTTTTTAAATTTTAATATATCGCTAAACTTAGCGTGCCTGTTATTTTGCAAAAATGCAGTAATCCCTCATCAACATTTTCTTAAATAATTACAAGCAGTTAAAGTAAATATATAACCTTCACTTCAAAGGTTACTATTTAAAATTATTGTAAAATATTTCATAAATAATAAAAATTGTAACGTAAATAGACTTGCCCTGATTCTAAAGTTTTTATTATTCATCTTATTCACATGGATATTTATTCTATTAGTAATAATAAGACTGCTTAGTAATAATTGCTCGTAAAATTATTAGGTTAGGTAAAATTATATAAATACCTTATTTACATATTTATTTACATGTTAATTATTTATAAGGTTTTTATCACTAATAATATTTTTAAGTATTATTTGTTATATTGTAATTAATTAGGCCAAACTGGATCTTCATTAACAACCCTCCGAACTTTATCTGTTGTGGGTATTTCATTTCAAAAAATAATTCGTGGATTATTCTTCTTATTTCTTCTCTGACAAATTCATCGTGAGTTATAATAGTTTTACGATGCTCAATTGGTTTTGGTGTCGACAATGTTTCCGCATTTCCATATGCTTAAGCCTTAACTTTAAGAAGAAAAAATGAACGCCGATAAGCAAAATGCAGCAACCTGCTCGACAGTTACGAATAAAGAACATATTAATTTACCATATAGAATCTTATGTATACCTTGGCACCATATTAAATACAAACCTCATGAAAAAACTACCAGCATTCGAAATGTGGATGTACTGACTCATTTTTGGTATATCATAGACCTAACATAATAGACAACTATTGAGAGCTGCCATAAGCAATGTCAGAATTGCCATGTTAATAGCCAATATTCGCCGTGGACATCGCACTTGAAGAATAAGATACTTTTTGATATGCTGTACTTATAGAATCAAAACGTAAGGGCATATCCTAATTCCGGAGATATAGCATGTATCTTACATATATTAATAATATCACTGCATTCTACCAGTGTTTATTTTTGCTTGAACCGAAATTTAAAAAAAAATAGTATATTGCCGAGCTTTAAGATTTTTGTGTTGAATACGCATTTTATTTGTTTAATATTCAAACTTTAAAGATAAAAATAATTTTACGTTTCATATTATTTTACATATTGTGGCATAGTTTCATTGTTTTTTATATGATGGTGTATACAATACTTTATATCATTTGAATATACTTTCGACTTTCCTATTATATAAAAAATTATATAAAAAAAATAATAATGCTAATGAAATACATAATATGTAATAATTAAAAATTATTAAATAACTAGCGTATAATATTATATATATATATATATATATATATATATATATATATTATATATATATATATATATATATATATATATCTAATAATACTAGCCTCATTGCTCAATTGTATTCTGATGTATTTTCACGTTCCAGCTCATTTTTTTTTTATTTTACCTAAATATACCTACTTTTTCTCTCTCTACTTACAGTTGTTTGATTATTTGTTCATTTTGGATATTTGCTATTAAATAATTTGCATACCTCTTGTTAAATATGTAATTTGTTTCTACAACCAAGCTACAAAATTTCTATGCTTGGCCTCTCATTTAAACGCACAAAGATTTTGGAAAAATTATTTTGTCGCAAATAGTTTATGTAAAATAAACACATTTTACTATTTTTATAATATTTAGACTGAGTTGTACTGAGTTATTTTTACATATCCTCTATTTCATTAAGTAATTCGAGTATTAGAATATATTTTATTTCTCCAATTAAATATAGGCTATGATTTGTTTCTAAAACCTTTAGTTAGACTCTGAAGAGATAAAATGGAAGAACATTTGTTTTCATGCATGGTAATGCATCTCCACATACGTGCAGATTAACTACAGACTTCCTTGAAGCATGATAGCACTATTCCGGAGTGGCCTGCTTGTGTATCCGACCTTAACCGTATAGAGCATTTGTGGAATATACTTAAAAAAAGAATTAGAGCTCACCGGGATAATCCACAAAATACTGCACAGCTAGTAGTAGAAAAATGGAATATCCTACCACAACAAAATGGTGGCAGTTTGTTTAGGAGCATTCTTTTAAGAGTGCCGTGTTCCTACGGAGGTTGTCAATCATAATCGCTATTTTTATTTTAGAACTTGCTGCTCTAAACAAATCAATCGATCTGCAATGATACCAATCACGTAGATTAATTAACCATGAGTTCTGCTTTCGGCCAACAGATCTTCTTCCTTGAATCTTTTCCTGTATTATTTGTCTCAAAATTTCATATTTTGGACCCCTCATCACGTGGTCTAGGTATTCCAGTTTTCTGGTTTGTATAGTGGTGATTAGTTCTGTTTCTTTACCAACCCTCTACAGTACTTCTTTATTTGTAATTCTATCAGTCCATGATTTTTTTATTTTTATTTTTTCGAAGCAGACTTTTCGAAAGCCCCAATTCTTTTTAAATTGCATTTTTTTAATGTCCAAGTCTCAGCTCCATATAAAAATATTAAATATATATTGTGGTCTTTTTGTTATTAGCATGTACTTCGTTTTTTTAGCGTTTATAGTAATTCACATGTCAGCACTATTTATAATCAAGCTTTCAATAAAATGTTGTAGATCCTCTATACCCGTTGCTATGATTACAGTGTCGTCTGCATATCGTAAGTTGTTAATTAATTTTCCGTTAACGGTGACTCCCGCTTCGATATTATTGAGCGTGTTTTGTAAAATTTCTTCAGAATATAAGTTAAACAAAAGTGGCGATAAAACACATCCCTGTCCAACTTCAAATCTTCATTTCTTCTGAGTGTTGCCCATCAATTTGAACTATGGCACTTTGGTTCCAATGTAATGTTTGCACCATATTTATGATTTTACTGTCAATGCGCTTGTTGATAAGTATTGATATTAGTTTTTTATGTCTTATTTTATCAAAAGCTTTTTCGTAGTCAACGAAGCACAAATGTAGATCAACGTTTACATCCCGACATCGCTGTTGATGGCAAAGATTCCTTGTCGAGTACCCATTCCTTTTCGGAACCCGAACTGCGTCTCACTAATATCCTTCTCTAGCCTTTCGTATCGTATCGTATCAGAGCACTCTTTTGCTGCTTGTTTTTAAGGGATGGTTATAAATGCTGACTTCAGCCACTCTTATGGTATTATTCCCGCATCGTACACCGTGTTGAATAAATCTGCCAATACGTCCAGTTATCCTCTTCCACTAGTTTTAACATTTCTACGGGTATTTCATCTAATCCAGTTGCGCCTTTCTGGCTTTAGAGTTTTTGATAGTATATTTGATTTCATTTATCGTGATCTTCTGTCTCTCTAAAGAATTTAGTTCTTGTTTAGTTTTGATTAAGTTAAGTTAAGTGTAAGTGTTGTTTAGGAGCATGCTCATACAAATTGAATCTTGTATAACAGCTAGGGGTGGTAACAATGACTACTAAAAAACAAATAAATAAAAGCAATTTAAACATTATTTACTTTGCATTAATTTTTTTTTATTATTGACTTTCAAACAAATAGTTTCAATTTGTTTGTTTCAAAAATTTATTGTTTTCTTTAAGTCTTATGTATTGGTGATTAATTTGCTTTAAAAGAAATATTTTTGTGACTATGTATGTTGGTTTTTTTAAATTTTCTTGAAATAATAAATATTACACGATTCCATATAAAGTCGAGTTTACACTACATGATCTATCATGTGATTTTTTTATAAAGATGATAAATTTATAAGAGCTTCGACTTTATATAGAAGTTCGTCAAAAGCATTTGATGACATGCGGCAAAAATTTTTAAAACTTGCTGGCTCTTCGAATTTTAATTCCCTAACTCTAAATTTGATATACCCCATCCAATATTTTTTCGTAAGACCTACCTGCGAGCCCAAAAGGCGTCTGATCTTTTTCTTCTAACTATTAGCTGTACGCAGGTGTTACCAGCGTATTATTATTAAAAGGCAGGAAGCCAATGCAAACAAAGATTCATTTCCATTATAATAGTTTATAAATCTAGTTGTTACCTATACTGTTTCTAATACCTATATTGCCAGAAACAAAAAGAAAAATCAACATAACTTTATTATCACTCATATCATAAGTGACAACTTTTCGTTCAGTGTAAACATGATTTTAACATCATAGAAAAGTGGAATCATGTAGTGTAAACCCGACTTAGGTTTGGTTATGTGGTTATGTGTGACATTAAAATTTAAAGTAGCCATTTGATCAGCATAACTCCTACATATTAACAGTTTCCTTAATATATTACAATAAATCAATCTTCATCTTGATATACAACTTTCAATTAACTGGCATTCATCCTAAAATATAAACAACAGAACAAATTAATATTTACTAGGTGTTTCACTTTTAAAATGTAATTTAAATGTACGGTAAATAGATATTATCTATAAAATCTGGTACATAAAAGGTTGAATTTCAAAACAAGTAAAAGAAAAACAGTTGTGGGTGTTACTATAATTTAAAACATGTAAAGATGTCAAGTGCAGGTTGCCTAATATTTTCACATTATTTTTCTATGATCTTCCAAAAATCTATTTAATAAGTTTCAGTTGGTAAGCGATTATTATAAATAAAGTCGGCATTACATAATTGACATTAATTGTTGCCAATTGTATAACTGATTGTTTAATTCTTCTTTATGTTATCGCCAAGAAGGAGGCATTTTTAAAACCATACGAAAATAAATTAAGGATATCAGTATGACAATCCTATTATCAAATAAATTATTTCAATTAATTTTTGCTTATCACATGCATCACTTCATATTTAAACTACCTTATGTCTATATTGAATATAGCATCCTGGGTAACTCTAAATAAGCTTAAACGATCGGCAACTATCGGTAATATCTCTGGTTAAACTAGTAAAACAATGGTCCTTATCAGGCTACCAAAAAAATTTCGGTGAGAGAATCAGAATTTGCCAAATTATCGCCGAAAGACTTAGCAGAGCCAAGAATTAATGTATTTCAAAACGCATATTGGAACAATAGTATATCAAGTCAGAGGGAAGATAATAATACTGAGAGATTTAAATGGCCAAATAGGCAACCAAGTAATACCCGGAATTAAGAAAAAATATAACGAGAATGTCAAAAATGAAAATAGAGAACTGTTGGTTAACTTCTGCGCGAATAACGAACTCAGAATAACCAACACATTTTTTGATCATAAAGACCAACGCAAATATACATTTAATAACACCCGTCGAAAAAATTTACAATAACATCGAGGATAGCTCAAAAACTTAAAACTAACATATTAAACGTAGGAACAGAATCACTTGGAGAAAGAAAAGTCACGAAAACAAACATATTAAAAAAGACAACCCCATGGTTTAGAACAAGTAAAAACAAAATAAAGAAAAGAAGAAAGCCTTTTTACAACACAGAGCAGAACAAACACAATAAGCATACAATCACTATGAACGAATTAGTCAGACAAATAAAAAGGAAACACTAGCAGAGCTTTCCAAAACAAATGGAACACAATTTCTACGGAACACAAAAAGAAATATGGAGAATGATCAGAGGACGAAAAAAATGATAAACTAATTAATAAAAGCTTCTTCTTTTTATGTAGAAGTAAGTAAGTTGTTAGTCCATCGTTTTCGTGGTCTCTTCACCGATCGTATTCTCATGGGGGAACGGTCTCTCGTCATATTTACTACTCTACTTGTTTTTGTGTGACTTACCTATATGATCGTTTCATTCTGCTCTTCTATTTCTTATCCAGCCCTTTATGTTCTCTACCTTGCATCTCCGTCGTATATTTGTACTTCTAACCCTGCCCCATATCTACTGTCTTACCATCGATATTTCTAAAGGTTTTGAACTCTTCAAAACTTCTGAATATTATTTTTGTTCTCTCTGTGTCAGATCGCGTTTCTGCCGCGTATGTCGTTATTGGTTTTTATAAGTATATATAACCGTATATCGGTTACTGAAATTTACTGATTTGTAAATTCTGCCTTTCATGTCTTTTCTGATATTTTATTTCTCCATATTGTTTCATTCAGAGAACCTGCAACTCATGTTTGTTCTATTTACTTGATCTTCCACTTTCAGTTTAGAGCTTTTCGTAGCTAAATAATGTGATGCCTAGATTGTTAAACTCCATCACTTGTTCTATTATCTGACCTTCCAGCTCTAATTTACATATTAGTAAATTTGCTATAACTATGCATTTTGTCTTTTTTCTTAAAATTAACACGTTAAATTTTCTGGCTATTATATTAAATCGGTGCAACATATGTTGTAAATCATCTTTACTTTAAGCGAGAGCGCCCACCAAACTGGCATGGTAAGTGGAATGTAGCAAGTAGCTCGCGTGTAGCATGTTACTTAAAATGTAACCAGTGAAAACTAATGATTCAGCGCACATCAAAATGACAGTGACGTCATTCATTCTGATCATGCATTTGCATTGGTTACATTTTTAGTAACATGCTAGACGCGTGCTACTTGCTACTTGCCACTTGCCATGTCAATTTGGTGGGCGCTCTCACTAAGAGAATAGTGTTGAGTCAACAGCAGAGCTGATTCTTTTAAGTTGTTTTTCTCCCATTTGGTATCTTTTATAGTTCGTACTTTTTTTATTATTTCGTACATAATCAGGTTGAACAATAGAGGACTTAGGCAATCTCTCTGTCTTATCCCATTGCCAGCTTTAATAGGGTCGGTTAGTTCTTTTTCTGCTTTTACTTTTATTTTGTTGTTTTGGTAGATATTTTCGATCGTTTTATTTATTCCTAGAGGTATCTCGCTTGCGTACAATAAGTGGATAACGTCCTTTAATTCCTAATGAAAAGGAAGAAGAGAGAGTATCAGGAACAAATAATCAGAGATATAGAAGAAAAAAGAAAGAACAAATAAGCGAGGCAGTTCTTTAAAGGAGTTTCAGATATCAAGACCGGGTACCAAGCAAGAACAGCAAACTTTCTTCAAAACGACAGTGGACAGCTTATCACTGATGACAAGGAAATCTTAAAAACCTGGAAGGAATACTTCTATCAACTATTGAATGACCAATCTAGCAGAAGTACATCAAACATAGAGGTACATTCAGCTGAAATAGAAGACCAATACCCGACATACGAAGAAGTAATACAGGCAATTAAAAAACTCAAAAATAATAAGACACCAGGTAGCGATGGTATACCCGCAGAGTGCTTAAAACATGGAGGAGAAGCGTTGTACAGTTCGATATACAAGCTAATTCAAGACATTTGGCAAGAAGAAACAATGCCAGATGAATGGAAAGAAGGGGTTATTGTACCAATACACAAAAAAGGAAACAAAAAGCAATGTATTAACTACAGGGGAATAACACTCCTAAACACCACCTACAAAATCCTTGCAAACATCCTGCTAGAAAGAACCAAAACATGCACAGAAGAAATCGTTGGAGATTATCAATGCGGGTTTAGACCGGGCCGCTCTACAATTGACCAGATATTCACAATAAAACAGATAATGGAAAAATGTTGGGAGTTTGATCGTGAGCTTCATCAGATGTTCATCAGCTTCATCAGACTGTGGACAGCGATGCAGGAACTTGGCTTTCCAAAAAAACTAGTCCGGTTGATACGGATGTGTATGGAACGGTTACGATGTAAGGTGAGAGTTGGACAACAATACTCGGAGACATTTGAAATAAACAATGGACTAAAACAGGGAGATGCACTTTCACCATAACTCTTCAACTTAGCTCTGGAGCACATAATCAGAAGTGCAAGAATCGAAAAAACCGAATACAGTATTTCATCGAGAAGGACCAAACTTACTACTGGCATTTGCAGACGATATAGATCTAATAGGAAACACGCGATTAAGGATGAAGGAGACTTTCGTAAGGTTTGAGAAGGAAGCAGAGAAGATGGGGCTCCAAATCAACGAAAACAAGACGAAATATATGTATATGAGCCGCAATAACCAAAGCAGAGACAGAATTGGTCAGAACATTACCATCGATGACTTTAACTTTGAGCGCGTTAGAGAATTCAAGTATCTTGGAACAACAATAACTGAAGACAATAACGGATCACAAGAAATAAACAACAGGATTCAGGCCGGCAACAGATGTATTTTTGCCCTCCAAAACCTTATAAAATCAAAACAACTAACACGACGTACGAAGATACAGGTCTATAAAACAATCATACGACCCGTTGTGATGTATGGAAGCGAAACGTGGACGATAACAAAGGCAAATGAAGAGAGACTACGTGTTTGGGGAAAGAAAAATCCTAAGGAAGATCTTTAGTCCGGTGCTTGATGAAGCATCAGGACAATATAGGATAAGAACTAATAAAGAGCTTGAAGAACTTTACCCAGATGCCAAAATCATAAAAGAAATAAAGTCCAGAAGACTCCAATGGGCAGGACACCTCAGAAGACATTCTGACGAACGAACAGTAAGACTGGTGTGGGAGGAAGTACCAACTGGAAGGAGACCACGCGGACGCCCTCGTCTCCGGTGGCGAGATAATATAGCAGGAGACCTAAGCACTATGGGCGTGAAGAATTGGATGGAGGTTGCTCAAGACAGAAAACAGTGGAGGCATGTTGTCGAGTCGGCTAAAACCCACGAAGGGTTGTAACGCCACGGAGTAAGTAAGAGTAAGTAAGTAAGTCCTTTAATTTGACTCGGTCAAATGCCTTCTTAAGGTCCACGAAACATAGATATGCCGGTATTTTGTAAGTCGGTTTTTTGTATTCTGATGATTCTATTTACACCTGCTTCATTTTAAATATAGCGTTGTTACATGATCTTCCCGACCTGAAACCTTGTTGTCTTTCTGCTAGTGTTATAATTTCATTCAATTTATTTGTTAGCACTTTGGTTATTAATTTTAGTGTTGTGTTTAATAAATTAATTCTTTTGAAATTTTCCGAGTTCGATTTGTTTCCCTTTTTGAAGAGAGGTATTAGGATGCCGAAGTTAGTTCGGTATTCTGTACTCATGTGGTTATTTTTTATTTTTTAAATTTCCTTACCGTTTCCTTTATCTCTTCCTCCTCAATATTTATTTCTTCGTTTATATCTTTGTCGCCACCTCTGATATTAATGGTTCATTATCGTCATCTTTAGCAAATAGGTATCGAAAGTAGTCTGCCCATGTTTTCTGCTGAATGTGTTTCGTTTTTGTTATTCGTTCATCTCTTTTCCTTGTTCTCTGATCATTTTTCATATTTCCTTTTGTGTTCCGTAGAAGTCGTGTTCGATCTGCTTTGAGAAGCTCTGCCAGTGTTCTCTTTTTGTCTAACTAAAGTATATGTTTTATTTCTGATACATTTA